CTTTTCTATTGTCAGTAACCCAGTCATCAGAGCTGATGAAAACATCTTAAACACTTGTCTTAATATTTTTCCTGTTGATCAGATCAAGTAAAAGCTACGACACTTATCTGACACTGACAATTATGTACTCAACAATTTGTCAGAGACCATCTATGTAATTAACGCATCATCAAATATATATTTGAAAATTCCTTAGTTTTCTAAACTTTGTTTTTGCTTCACCTTCACTGATTCCTCAAGTGGTTATGAACTTTACGATATTATTCACTTTATGGGTCTGAGTGACTATCTGTGATTATCACAGGGGAATATAAAATACATATATTTATGAAACCCACTCACACTGTTTTCTCTGTGTCTCATCTAGTCAATGAATCTGTTTTACAACAAGAGAAATAAAGTTTCAATTGAGATTTTAGTAAACGAGCAAACTTACAAGAAACTATAGCTAGAAATTATCAACGACTGACTATTGGGATGTAGTAGATTAACATAAAATAAGCACAAAATTTGAATCAAATTTCATTGAAAGCGTCATGCATTCTACATACTTGGTCTCACAAGTTTATGCAACAAATATTATCCAGGTAACACAGAATTAAAAATATTTGAGATCCATTATATTTTAACTTACTGTATGCATCCAGTCACATGCAGCCTTAACATCCTCATAAATTGAAGCATAAGACATATACAAAGTCCCCTTCTTCAAACCATGCTCTGTCTTTATGTAATCAGAGTCGCTGACAAAATGGTTAATTACACATGTAAGCATATAGGTTTCTAAGATAAGATTAACTCAGCATAAAAAGTACACACCTGGAAGACTGAATAAAGTGTTCATTATCTCGATACGCTTCTCATCAAACTTCACAAATTTATTTGGGTACATTGCTCGAAGCTCTTCTCTATGCGCGGCAAAAATATATGAATTCATTACTTACCTCTGAATAAGATTAAATCCACGTAAACACGAAAGGATATTTCCAAACTGATCCATTTTTAACAATGTACCATAAAGTCGATCGAACCACAAGCCCCTAGGACATATAGAATACACCTTGTTAAAATCCAGAAAGATAGAAGTCAATTGTTGGTTGAAATTACATGTTTTTAAGTTTACGGACTGAGGATAAGGACATAGATGAGTACAAACATTTTGATTAAAAGCAGGAAAAAATTTGTAAATTATGAGGTAAATTGTAGCGTCTATTCGGGTTGTAATTTGTATTTAACCTTTGAGAAATAGAACATTTAACAAATAAAGGAAGTAGAAAAATGCAATTAAAATTATGGATTCAAATCGACCCCTCACCGTTCCCCATTTCTCGTAGAAATACCTCAGTTGTACTACGCGACTCATCCATCTCACAGACACTCTTCAGATGAAAGTATCGGTCCCCTATAAGAGAGTAGATTGCACCTAATAACTAGCCAAATACCAGTAGAAAAAGCTGGACAAGGAAAAAAATTCACATGGCAAAAGTGTAAATGATCGGAATAGAATCCACTGGAGACAAACGAATCAAATAATCTTATTGAAGTCCCATAAATGTCAGACATTCTCCTCTTGTTGGGATCATCCACTGTATCTAATCGTCCTTCCCAAATCAGTGATACCTCAGCCCTGCTAAACAAAGTGATCCTCCGACTAACTCATCATTCTAACAGGTATACAATGTGTCAATAGTAGAAGATAATCCCCCGGAATTATTATCCACAGCATTAATCGCTGAACATTCAGTGCTGACCCTCACTGTTTAACTCGGTTTGTTTAGCTGAAGACTCGCGGTTAAGCATCCACGTCATTTGGCACGCTGTCGTGTTACGTTCTGTTGGTCGTGCATGATCCCTAGCTAGTTAAGTAATCATCCTAGCACTAAGAATTTAGTCCAGAAATATACTTCGTAATTTGGACGATCAATTTGGTGTTTTGCTGTATCTTTGGTTTACGCAGAATGAATACTAAAGAAGCTGTGGGTAAAAGCTCTTGCTTTATTATACGTCGTACTATCCGTGAAGGTCAACACCTTCAACCCCTACAGGTCCAGTTCTTCTCATTCATTAATTCTGCACTTATTTTAATTGCTAAGGGATTTCTTTTTATTGTGACAGTCAATTATCATGAAACACATATTTGGTAACACATGCATTGAAACACAAAAGTATGCTGTTAAAAAACCATTGCACCAATGATCTTGTGTGGTAGCTCATCTTCACAGTATAGAACTTGGTCTAAGGAGCACTGAAAGTGTTGACCTCTGGGCCCTAGGTATAAGGAATCAAAGTGCCATTTAGTGACAACTGTCACTAAATGTATTCACATCAGTAAATAAATATATATTGTTGAACTATAGACCGTCCAAAATCAACTAACCTTAGCGGGAATGATGGGTCGTAAGTATATTCGGCAATTTTCGATGGATATCCAAGCTTAATCAACCGGGATTTAACAATGTCAAATGCGAGTTCCTCATACTGCGGGGATTTGTACTCTAAATAAATTTATAGTTTAGTGTTGAAAAGGATGACGACATCTGCATTACGCGCTAAAGTATAGTCCATATCGAATCCAAAAAACTTTATTTTGTCCAACTGAAGACTTCGATTCACAAATATTCTTTAGTAAGATATTCGGTTATCCTGAAATGTATAAAATATTACCGATGCTTTGTTTCTCGTTTTTGTGTGCGAACATTTGTTGAAGGCTGTTGCTCAATGAATGCGTTGGAATCCATTTTCAGTCAGATATGTAAAGGAAGAATCTTAACAACTGATTGTCTCGTAAACCTATGAACTTTAAAGAATCTTTAAATGGTGCGTAGGTGAAATTTGATGTCGTTTAGAAAAGTTAAACAAAGTGGGTGACCATGGTTGCTTCATAAGTTGTTAATTTTCTAGTGTATTAACCCAAGAATTAATTTTTTAGCCTGTTGCATATTTAAACGGAATGCAGCATACAAAGGTTATACCTCTTTGAAATAAAAATAAATGTATTCTCCAATATCCAATATCCAATATCCTGATTACGAGCTAGTATAAACCAGTGATTTCTTTGAGCTCGCTTCTTGATTTTAAGGTAGAGGTTCCAGATCTTCGGTGAACTTATGCGTAGTAAATCCCGCCACTCGACTGCTTTAGCTCTGGTAGACTCCAGGAGGAGTGATGCGAGGATTGGTCAAGATTGTGGTTTGTAGTGTGCAGTATGTTAGGACTCAGCTGCTGCCGTGAATGGAGTTTGACCTAACACCCGTTGGTCATTCGGTATAGTCATAAAAGTAGAGTAATAATAATAATAATGATAATGATAATAATAGGTTGAAGTGTAGATAATATAGGTTGAGATAAGTGAAATAATAAAGAAAGAAAGAAAAGATAGAGTAGTCGGTACAGTGGGAGGAGACAGGACGGGTCGTGAAGATTTAGCTTGTATGCTTATCCATTGACAATGTGGTTTCAAATTTTAAGAGGGTAAGCCATTGAGACACAAACCATGCATTTCTGCATGATTGTCCAGCTTCCGCTTAAAAATCTCCACAGATGGAGCTGTAGTTACGGCCGCCGGTAAAGCGTTCCAGAGACGGCAAACCCGAAGCGCAAAGAAATGTGAACGCACTCGAGTCCTTGGTCTCTGGTGTGCTATCCTTAGCGGGTTACCTCGTGGAAGCCTATAATCACTTAATGGCAGGATGCTCTTATCAGGATGGGCCTGGTCATTCAGGATCTTATAGACGGTGATGAGGTCTCCCCTGTGACTACGGTAACTAAGTGTGAAAAGACTTAATTTCTTCAGTCTCTCCTCATATGATTTGTTGCGGAGGCCGATCACCCATTTTGTCGCTCGTCTCTGGACACTTTCTAGCATGTTAGCATCCCTTTTGAGTAGCGGAGGAGCAATGATATTATGCACCTCAAGGAGTGGCCTCA